GGTTGGACACAGGGGCTTGGAGCAACCTGCTCTAGTGGAAGGTGTCCCTGCCCATGGAAAGGATTTGGAACTGGGTGAGCTTTAAGGTCCCTTCCAACACAAACCAGTCTGGGATTCTATGACTCAATCCCATCACACAAAGATGAAGTGTCTTAGCCCCTTCTAGGAGTCTCAGGGAGGAAAACCACCACTCGCTACTCCGCAGTCAGCTCTAATCCTCGAATCTTAAGAGCCACAGCAGTAAAAACTTGGTCTACAACTGTGAGAAGAACAGGAGACAGTGATACCTACCGTCCATTTCAGCATGATCTGAGTGTCACTGATGGCTTCAGTATAAGCAATGTGAGGTCCTGTGATGGGGCGGTTGGAGAAGCGGCTGGTAAACCCGGCCACTTGGTAGGGCCGGGATGCTGCGCTGCGTGGGCTCTCCCCATAGTTGTTCACAGCAATCACACGGAACCTGTACATCTCTCCTTTTAAGGGAAAAAGTGGAAGAAAGATGATGTAGTAGCAAAACAAGCACTAGAAAGAGGCTTCAAGGAGAGACTAAACAGATTAAGAAGTCTTTCTGCACAACGGCCAGTTAGAAAAGAAAGTTGGACTCGTTGCCACAGACTGATGTGGACATCAGAAAGATAAACAGCTTCTAAAAGCAATTAGGGAAATTCACTCGAGAAAAATCCAAAGGCTTTTTGGATGATGATGCCTCCATCAGCTTGGGAAGGCCCTAAACTGACAACTGGTGGGCACCAAGCAGAGGCTTCAAAGGATACCCATCATCATCATCATCTATTGCCTCTATTCCTGCATCATCCCCCTGAGCTTTCAGGGCTGGACACCAGAAGTCAGGACAGATGTTTTTCCATTAGTGCATTTCTCTCTCTGCATTCTGAGTATTTACTAGAAGGACAATTAAGTTAAAAATAGCAAAAATACACAAGCCTCCTCTCCACATGAACAAGTATTAAATTATACTGGTGGGTTTTTTCCACTTGAAAAGCCAGAAATCAACTTGAATTCACGCAATGAGCTCCTATTCCACATAAAAAACCCCAACGAACTACCAGAAGCAGGATAATCCGAGCAGAAGTTAAAATGAAACAACCAAAGAGTTGCAGCCACCCAAGCAAAGACAACAGCAACATCAACTGACGTGAAGGAAGGATCCTTTGTAATACCTGGCTCCAAGTTCCGAACTTCCACAGAGAGCTTGGAAGGAGAAATGTTGTCAGCTGCCACGAGCCAGTCGCTGCTCCGGCCCAGGCGCTTGTACTCCACCTTGAAGGCAGTAATGGGGGAGCCCCCGTTTGCTCGTGGGATCCATGTGACGTAGACAGATGACTCTGATGCTGTGGAGATCGTGGGTCTGTCAGGAGCTTCTGGAACTGAAATGAGAAACTCAGTTACCAGAGGACTGGAGTCACGTCCAACTTCACTTCCTGTAGCCACCGCTTAAGCTCGTTGCTGATGGTTATGGTATAATATAACAAGGAGGATCTTAAATCCTCCTGTAGCAACAACTCCCCTTTGCTCTTCTGGAAGAGATGGTTGAAGAGCAGAAAACAGGCATCAACTTATCCATATAATCATCAAAAAACAGATGGTTAGAACTAGACATCTTTAAGGTCCCTTCCAACCCAACCCATTCTATGGTGTTGCACTCACCCAACCCATCTCTACATGGAAGTGGAAACATAAGACTGAGTGAAGAGGAAAAACATGGTTATCCCTCTCAAAACACCAGAACTCCCCCAGCCCCGACGTGACTTCAACCCATCCACACTAAGGAGCCCTGTATGGTGGGGAAATGAGAAGGGAGAGCAAAGGAAGCATGCAACGAGCTGTATACTTACTGAACTCACTTGAAGTTACAGACAGCAGTGGAACAGAGAGAAGGGAGAGAGATGGTGTTAGTACATCTGCTTACAACCACTCTGATGACCGACGAGAGCCATAAGGCTTTACTAAAGCAGCTTGTACTCATCACTAGGGAGCTGGTCACTAATGAGAGGAGGAGGGGAGCAAGGAACAGCAAACAGAGCTTGCTGCAAGGAACAGGCTGAGCACTGGCAGCCAGGCACACAGAAGGTGTCCCCTTGTGTGGCTCCACTGCTATTCAGCACTGTCACAAGCATGTGATGCTCAGCTCCTTGAACCTCTCCATTCACCTTTGGGTTTACCCCCAGTTTTAGACACCAAGTCACCTCTGAGATCTCAGCTCCTGAGTAAATCTGCCTGAATCAGGTCAGTGAGTTCAGAGGCTGGGGTGTGAGAAAAAGGACTAGAAACATGCTGTTTTTATTGGAAACCAGGCTAAAGATCACAAGCAGTTCTATCTTCCTGCCATCAGAAACAAGCCCATCCCTGGGAAGCTCCAGGAAAACATTCAGAACAGATACAATCCACTTTGAGAACTTAAAAGCCTGACAGTCATTCTCTGTTTCCCCTTTTCCTCTTCTTTCACAGTGGAAGACGAAACCAGAGTATTTAGCAGAGAGCAATGTCAGTGAGCAGCAAGAACATGGGTTATCCCTGAAACTCTTATTTTTTGAGAGACACACACATGGGTAACAGCATCCTTAGAAATACTATATATTTTCTTAATTAGGGCATGCATTTACTGAGCTCACAGCTTCAAATACCCCACCACAGACACTGGAGGCTGTAAGAACTGTGCCACTTCTTGGTGACTTCATGTGGCTGTGGCAACCTGAGGTATCAAGGCAGGTACTTAGAATGCTGCCTGGAATCAGGCAACCTTTAACTAGTCCCAGAGTATGATCTCTTACTCTGGAGACACACAGAAGACCACAAAATGTAGCAGATAAGTGACCCCCCTCACAGAAGGCCCACCAGAGAGGAAAATACCTGTAACAAAGAAGCCTTAGGGAATAAATAGGTGTTAGAAGAGGACATACAAGCACCTAGAGCTGTAATTAACACAACGTTTAGCACATGGATTACAAACCATCCATCCACCACTTACCTCCACTGTGTCGAGAGAGGTCTGGCAGGATGACACCAAAAGTATTTGTGCCCTCATGAACAAGGGGATGTTTGGGAATGCCCACGGGAGGGGATGGAGCCTGGGTGTTTTTTGAGGATGATGTTCTTTCTAAGAAAGATTTGATATAGAGTATGTCAGCTCAGGGTCTGGATGAGAAAATGATGCTCATTGCCTCTCACAATGTGCTTATTCCACCAGACCACTCGCAGGACTAAAGCCCTGGACCCAAATCACAAGCTAAACAGTCAAAGGAGCAAAAAGAGACCTCCCCTGTCAGCCCAGGGCCTCTTGTGCTGTGGGTAAGTGCCTGTTCACCTGCAGCGCTGCACTTTGTGGTGATGCCACCAGCTCCTGCACAGGTTTCAAAGCCCGCTCTCACCACGAAATCACAGTAGATGGTGAAATCAGGCAGGCTGAGAGTTGGTATTATTCAGCCTGGAGAAAAGGCGGCTGCAGGGAGGCCTCAGAGCAGCTCCAGTGCCTAAAGGGGCTACGGGAAACCTGGAGAGGGGCTTTGGACAAGGACCTGTAGGGATAGGACAAGGGGGAATGGCTTTAACCTGCCAGAGGGGAGATTGAGACGAGCTCTTGGGCAGAAGCTCTTCCCTATGAGGGTGCTGAGGCGCTGGCACAGGGTGCCCAGAGAAGCTGTGGCTGCCCCATCCCTGGCAGTGTTCAAGGCCACACAGGACACAGGGGCTTGGAGCAACCTGCTCTAGTGGAAGGTGGGTTGGAAAAGGATGAGCTTTAAGCTCCCTTCCAACACAAACCATTCCATGATTCTACAACGGCACACCCAAATCCACATCTAGAGAAAGAGGCTCAATAAAAAGGTGATGGAAGCTGTGTTTGGCCATAGCTTTGCCCTGGATACTGGGCAGATATATACTGGGCCTGTAGCAGTATCGTGAATTCCCCAACACTTAACATTCTAAATAAAAATGTTAAGCTATTCTGTTCTTGAACATTGATACCAAACAATATTGTTTGCATGCTTCAGAGTTCAGCCACCGGCGTCCAAGCTGGAAAGGAAAAAGGCTGCTTTGATTAGCAAGGCTCTTCTGCTTGTTGCTATCTGCACGCAACTATCAAACCAGCTGGGTTCTGCTCTGCAGAGAGATTTCACTGCAGTGTCTGCAAAGCAAACCAGAAGAGGTTTGTTGCTCTATAAGAACTGGATGGTGCCCAGAGTGTCTTTTGTGATACTCTGAATAAACCAGAACAAGGGCTGGCTGCTCCCTGACTGAGCTCCTTGAAGCAAGAGGTGGAGAAATCTCAGTCATCACCCCCAAAATAATATCATCAAGCTTTTAAGCTTCTACTTACCAACAGCGCTGGTCACGCTCAGGGAAGTTTGATTCTATGATTCTATTTAAGTTTGCCCTGCAGCTGTATTAGCAGTTCTTTAGCAATTAAATTGCAGAACACTCTGTCCAGGGCTTAGCAGACAACATAGAGTTGATGTAATTGGAACGAACGGCTTCTGGAAGGGCCAGGACCCAGGGAGGTGGTGCTGCACCCACCTTTGCTGGTGCGAAAGGTCAGCATGGCGGGCTGGCCCTCGCCCGCCGCGCTCCTCGCCACCATTCATCGCCACACTCAGCCCCTCGTAGAGGCTGGAGGGCTCCAGCTCCGTGAGCCGCAGCTCGTTCTCGCTGCCCGGGACACGCACCGTGTGCCAGCTCCCCACCACGCCAGCGCTGTCATCCAGCTGATGGGACAGGGAGAGAGAGCTCAGCATCAGCCCTGAGGGGCGCAGATCCCGATGGAACGCTCAAATCCCTCCGCGCTTCCACACACCCAGAGCCCCCCGGCAAAACCCCTCAGGTTTTCCTCTACTGACAGTTTGTCTCCAAGTGTTTCTTGCCACAAGTCTGCACTTTTGCAACCACTTTCCTCACGCTCCTTCACTGAACTGAATCGGTTTTCCCTCTCCACACACACGCACGCATTTGTTTTGAGGGAAAAAATGATCATTTTCACTCATGGCTAAAAACCAGCAAGAGACCAAGTGATGTTCAAAGACTCCAAGAGCCTTCAGCTGTGCCTGTGACATCCAAGGGCTGGACCCAGCACCCTAATGAGAAGGAGATGTTCCCTGAACTATCCCAGCTTTTCCTGCACTGAGGCGTTTAAAAATATTCATTGGCTAAAATGGGCAATGAAAAGTGTGTCTTTGTTAGTTCTGGAGGCTGGAAAAGAAGAAGCCACCAGGGAGACCAAGATTTGGGTTTTATTAATGCATGTTTCCCTTTACTTTTTAATAAAACCCCACTTTTTCATTTACCAGTGAAATCACCAGCTCCACTGAAGAAAGACGAGAGATTCAGGGTAGTCTCATAATGCTTGACCTTTGGTGGAGAACATTACCCCAAATCCCAATGGAAAAGGCCAAGATTCTACCAAAAATAAACTCCTAAACAATATAAGACTTTAATAAAACATAGAAGGCAGATCTGAACGCTGGGGATTATCAAAGGTTATGGCAGAGGGCTTTGTTCAAGCATTTTCTTCTGAAGCAACAACTCTTCAGGCTTTTATTCACCTATTTTTTATATATAAAAGAGGGATATCCATAAAATAATTTGATGGCACAAAGAAAACACCACCCTAAAAGCCCCACAACAAACTCGCTACTGAGCAACGCATGAGTGAGCACATTTAATGTGGAAAGGATTGGTATGAGCGAAGGGTGAGCATCAAAAAGGTCAAAGAAGCATTCAAAGCTTTCAGTGCTCATGTGAACCAAGCACCTCTGAATGAGAAATTGTAGCAACACACTTTGGCACTGGGGTTTCAGGAACTAACAGGTCAAAAACCTAAGCGTTCCCTCCAGGCTTAAGACAAGATCAGGATGTGGAGGATTAAAAAGCTTATGAAAAATAAACCAAACAGCTTTGCCATGCAGGGAGCTGTTTGCTTGGGAGAAGGGGCACAGGCATTGCTTGCTTCTGATGATACTCACTGTCAACTTAAGGACATGATGGATACCTGCTTCTGAAGTTTTAGTTCACCTTCATATTTGGTAAGTTCTAATAGGGTTTAGGAGGCAGAGTAGCACACTGTGACATGTCAGACTAACACTCATCTTCCCTTCCCACCACAACCTTCCGTGAAAGATTCAAGCTTGCTCCCTCATACAAATGCATTTTGAACCTCAGCCTGGACCCCCATTCCCCATAGACCATAATTACATGTAAAGGGACTTTAAACCAGGGCTCTGCTTTATAAATCTCATTTAGAACTGTTAGAACAGCATCCCTGTGACTCCAGTCACCCCAACAGAAGCTGTGTGGCCACCTATGTGCTTCAACCATACCCCACATCCCTGACATTGTTAACTCCAGCACTGCAGCAACAACAGGCTCTTGAGCACCCTACAACCAGGAGGACACCACGGCAGGGAGATGCTACCTTGCGGTACTTGACGAAGTAGGCATTGATGGGCAGGCCCCCGTCGCGCCCCGCGCGCCACACCAGGGTGTAGGTGTCTGGCTTTGGTGTCTGTGGGGGGCTCAGGATGATGGGGGCCTCGGGGGCAGCGGCCCCGCTCCAGCCTTTATCCGTGGCAGCTGCATCCAAAGGGAGTTTGGTTGGAGGCGAGCTCGGGAATGCCGTTGCTGCACCAGGGTCACCATCGCGCTGGGCAATGTCCACAGGAGACGGTTCTTCTGCTTCCATGGCAGTTTCTGAAGGAACTGAAAAGGGAGGAGCCTGGTTACATCTCCACAATGAGAGGACACTAAATCACTTCATGCTTAAACAAGGGGGATTTAGGTTGGATCTAAGGCAGAAGCTCTTCCCTGTGAGGGTGCTGAGGCGCTGGCACAGGGTGCCCAGAGAAGCTGTGGCTGCCCCATCCCTGGCAGTGTTCAAGGCCAGGTTGGACACAGGGGCTTGGAGCAACCTGCTCTAGTGGAAGGTGTCCCTGCTCGTGGCAGGGGTTGGAACTGGATGAGATTTAAGGTCCCTTCAACCCAAACCAGACCATGATAATTCGATGATTCCAAGTGTGTCATTTCACTGTGCAAAGAGCCACTCCAGGAGGTGCCTGCGCAGCCCTGACCCTGCCAGGCTGTTTGTTCAGGGCAGAACAGTGGTGTTGAGTTTATTTTTTGGTTTGGGTTTTGTTTTCAGAGGACCAAAGAGAGAAATCCTGAAACACAACGTCTGCAGCCCTGGCTTGACTCCTATCTCTGAGCAATGAGTGGCAAAGCATGTTAAGAGCCAAAAAATAATCAATCCCTACCTACACTTGTGACACAAACAGAGTAATT